TGTTGATCTGTTGTGAATGTGGAGGAGCCCCTGGTGGTGGAGCTGGCTTTGAACCTGTTCCTGAATGTTCTGACGGAGCAATTCATTCATGGGCAGTAGAAGGACCACAGCCTGAACCCCGGGTAAGTGCTAATCTGAAGAAAGGGACTCAATTCAGTCTTCATACATGAGCCAAGATGGTACAATCACTCAGTCTATGTAATACTTTGTTCTGGAATAGCTGATGGGGAAAGGAAGGGGAATCGAAAGTACATCAAAATTAGATGGAAGTAACCACAGAGAAGCTTTTCAATATGAGGATCATGTTTTAAATGAATTTCAGAAGTTTCCTACAAAGTATTTTTTTAGAAAATCTGCAACAATTTGAGAATAAAACAAATGTATGATAAGAATGAGAAAATGTTGCTTCCTGTCTTTTAGGATATGACCACAGTCTGTGTACCAACAATACCACCTACTAATGTAAATATGATAGAATGCATTGACAACTCAGGTAAGAAAAAAGAATTGAACAGCTCAAATAACTAAAAAGGAACTCTGTTCTCTCTGGTTGTATATGTTACTATATTTTAATGACCTTATTTGTCTTTAAAAGTGTTTACATGATTCCTTTTTAAATGACTAATGTGTAAATTATATGGTAAAGGTAAACCTGCTATAATTATTATTCTTATGTGATATATTTTTGAAATTTTCCTCAATCATACATAGGAGACTGATGATTTTCCTCCTCAATGCATAGGAGATGAAAAAATTACGACATCTATAAATGGAAGTACTGAATCATAACCATGAGTCAATTTTGTCAAGATTTTTATCTAACAGAAAAAATGTCATATATATATAATTAAAATGTATATCAAAATATATTTTAAGTGTATCTATATATATACATATATACACATATATGTATATGTGTGTATATACACATATACATACTAAAATTAAAATACAACTTGATTAAAGTAGATCTGTGCTCATGTATTAAGAATACAATCTTCTATAATTTGTTCAATGACTCAAAGTTGCTCTGAGTTTAGAGGCTTATTATGACAAAGAAAAAAACTAGATTCATTCTTAGCCTCAATATCAGAGTTGATCTAAAATCTTTACTTAAATTGAAAGACTCAACACTGTCAAAATCTTTTAAAGCTTTCAGCTAAGATTTTGTGCATGTGGTGGAATTTCCCCTTGTATTGGGACAAGACTGTATAAATACAACTGGCCTTAAAATAGGAGTCCAGACCACTTCACAGGCAAAAACCAGGGAACAGTTAGAATCTCACAGTAAGTGGATGACTACCACTGTAATAAGAGGAACAATTAAAATAACTTCTCATAACTTGTGAAAATAGTTGTACCATGTTTCCTTTTCCAAGGTAAATGCTATTGATTGTTATTTTTCTCTTAGAGTTTTTCAAACTAATTATTACTAATGATTACTTTTCCACTTTGAACACTCTAAAATGTAATAGCACTGAAGTGTTTATAACTTGTTTATAACTTGCACCTTATTCAAAGAAGTCAATAACTAGTCTTTGAACCTATTTCTCCTCCTCACATATCCATTTTGGTGAATGACACCAATATCTTCCCAACCTAAAGAAAAACTCTTGTGAACTCACATCTCCTTTTCCCTTGGTGTCCAATCAGTTATCGTATCCAACATTGTTTACTGATGCATTTATGCTTTCACAAAGTCTATAAACCTTTGCACAGATCTTGAACAAATCATTATGGAAGACACTAGGTTAATTGAAGTATGAAAATTACACTTCCCATAAATTCGAGATCTTTCAAATATTAAGGTCATGGGAATTCCTATACTCTTATGGACATTCTCTCTGTGGCATTTCCATAGTCCATGCCATTGTTTTTTTCCCACCTACCTCAAATATTGCAACAAGTTTCTACTCAACCTTCACGTCTAAGAGCAGATTGAAGAGCCATGGCCTCTTCTCTGAAAGCTAGTGGAGTTACTTTTGTTGTTGTTGCTGTTGTTGTTGTTGTTGTTGTTGTTGCTTTTGCCTTTTTCTGGATGCCCTGTGCTTCCAATAATACATTGGAGGTATGATTATACTGTTTTTTTAACCTTCAAAATTTGAGTTATTTATCCCAGTCTCTCAATTCGAAATCAAACTCTTGAGGGCATAGGTTTTTGTAACTTTTCTGCAGTCCCCACTTCTAACACATCATACAGTAGTCTCTGGATAGGTAATTACCAAATTAACAAATTGATCATTATTTTTTGACCTCAAGATCATAATTACCTCTCCTTTCTTTATATGTCATCTTCATTTTATTTCTTTGCTCATGAGTGCATGCCTGGATGAAGAAATCTTACACCCTAGTAGTTTTTAGTTTATATTATACTAGAGAAAGTAAATTTAATGTGATCAACATTTTTAGGAGTTTATACAAATGAGTATTGCGGCAGAGAAATGCAGGATCTGGGAGGAGGAGAACGAACAACAGGATTTGAACTAATGGATGGAGTTAAGACATCAGCGGCACCTGAGATATGTCAAGAATATTCTGGAACATTAAGAAGAAATTCTATGAGGGAATGTAGAGAAGGCGGTTTGAATATGAATTTCATGGAAAATTACTTTTGTCAGGTAAGGCCTGTAGCTGCGTACCTTCCTCTCTATCCACCATATTCTAAGTTTTTCCATCAGGGAATTTGGGAAGAGTCTTGGATTCCCAATTTCTAATCTTCATGCCCAACAATTTGTATTGTGGCTGAATAATAGCCCAAAAGCTCTCATCTGAGAATGTGTACTCTCCCTTTTAAAAATAGCCAGTGACTCCCAGTTGTGTTCTGTTATAACATAAATTCCGAATTCTTCAACATGGCAATTAAGGCGATTCACAAATTGACACCTCCACCCTGCCACATCTCCAATCACCCTTCCTTCCCATCAGCCTCACTTGCTGAGCACCTTTGCCTTCTGCACAGTGGACTGTTCTCTAAGGTTTTGCTTCTGTGTGACCCTCCTGCAATGCTTTCATCCCTTCCTCTCTCACAAAAACTTGCACCCATCCATGAAGATCCAGTTCAAATGTCACTGCCTCTCTGAAATTTTTACAGTTAATTATCTCATCCAAAATAAGATCCGTGTTTCCTCCTCTGTATTTTTGTCGTACTTTTTACATTTTATAGAACTTACAATTGTCAAAGTGTCTTCATGTATATGTCCACCACCATTTTTAGTGTCTCATCCATATGTTCTTAACATTGTAGGGCTAGCACTCAGTTCGGTTCCAAGCACATAGTAAACATTCACTAAGAGAGCCACAGTACATTTCCAGAACATTCTAAGAAATGAAAAGAGTGTGGGCCCTGGAAAAGTTTGGCAGAAGGAGAATTAACCTTGCCATCCCCAGGCAGAGACCCAACTGCTTGTGGTTACACATTACATGATATTCAGCCTTCAGCAACTTCCTGTCTCTGATTTGGACTAGAAATACAGTTCTGTCCTTCTGCATTCTCACCTAAAATGCTTTTATTAATTCCCCTCTGGTTTAGAGAGTGATTGATATTTTAAAATAAACATTAGTAAAAGCCTTTTAAATAGTAATTAGTAATAATGGGGCTAGCTGCTGAAACATATGAGAATACTTCCCATTCAGGTCCCTACCTCTGAATATTATCTTCACAAAAAAAAAAAAAGTAGAATTGTGCCTTGAAACCTTCACACTTATAGCTCCCACTGGCCACTCAATCGACTTCATTGTGATCTCTGATCAGCACCACTTGAAGGAGATGACTTCCTTCTCCTATAGACGGACAACCTCCATCACTCTGCATACCTGAACCCATGCTCCCTGGCACCTATGATCATGCCTTGTCTGTCTCGTCCTACTGAAACATGAGCCCTAGGAGAGAAGATCATATCTGCTTTTGTTCATTGTTGCATAGCTAAGTTCCTAACAGAGTGTTTGCCAAAGAACAAAGGCTGAATAAATATTTTTTAAGGAACTAGCACAATAAGTTGGTTGACTACCTGATATTTCTGATAGTCAACCTGAAAGCCTTCAGGTTCAATTCAGTACCATGAACTGCAAAGATGAAATCAAAGTACACACATCTGTGGGCTTTCAGCTTGAATTGAAAGAGATTAATCTTTAAAATTTGTCTGGGATCACCTTTATTTTTTAATATAAAAATGGCACAGATCCAGAGTCAAACTTTCCTATTGCACTAAAAAGGCCACATTAAACCAGGCAAAGGGGCACACAGCTATAATCCCAGTGACTCTGGAGGCTAAGGCAGGAGGATTAAAAATTCAAAGCCAGCCTCAACAACTTAGCAAGGCTCTGAGCAACTTAGACCTGTCTTAAAAAATAATAAAAAAGGGGAGCTGGGGATGTGACTTAGTGGTTAAGCACCCCTGGGTTTAATCCCTGGTAGCAAATATAAAATTAAAATTTAAAAAGTAAGTAAATAAAAAGAACACATTAAAATAAACCTTCCCAGATCCACAACATTCATTCTGCTTGAAGGAAAGAAAATACAATGCTCAATGAACCCATAAACTATGAACTGCCTTTTTTAGAAAAAAAAATTATATATATATATAAAACACATTTTTGCATACCTCTTTCTAACTTTTTTTGTGTGTAGCAATTTTTTGTTGGTTTGTTTGTTTGGGTACCAAGGATTGAACCCAGGGGTGCTTAACCACTGAGCCACATCCTCTGTCCTTTCTTTTATTTTTTATTTTGAGACAGGGCCTTACTAAGTTCTTGGGGCTGGCTTTGAACTCACAATCCTCCTGCCTCAGTCTCCCCAGCCCCCAGGATTTTAGGTGTGCACCACCGCACCTGACTGTGTACAGTATTTTCATATGCCTCCTTCTAACTTGGTTATAAAATTGTTTACGGGACTTTTTTGTATGTGATTCTGTGCCCAAAATGTACTATTTGAAATAAGTCTACCAAAGTAAATCTTAAAATCAAGACATATTATTGGAATTATAGTTAAAATATCTTCTTACCAAATTCTTTCAAGAAATTATAATGCTTTTAAAATCATTTCCAGTAGATATTAGAACTTTGCTCTGCATAGGCCTCTTTGGAAATACCCTGGAAGAAACAACAATGGTAACGACAATATGTATTCATAATTTCATTCTCTCTTTTCTCTACAAATTCAGAAGGCATATGCTTATGCAGATGAAGATGAAGGACGCCCGTCCAATGACTGCTTGCTCATATATGACATTGAAGGGGTAGGTTCGCCTGCCGGCTCCGTGGGCTGTTGCAGTTTCATTGGAGAAGACCTGGACGAAAGCTTCTTGGATACTCTGGGACCTAAATTTAAGAAATTGGCAGATATCAGCCTGGGAAGAGAAATCGACTCTTATCCAGACCCTGAACCTTCCTGGCAACCTCAGAGCACTGAACCACCTTGCCCTCAGCAGACAACAGAGCCCATGGTGGGTGGACACCCACCAGTCTCCCCGCACTTTGGCACTACTACAGTAATTTCTGAGAGCACCTATCCCTCAGGACCTGGTGTACAGCATCCTATGCCTATTCCTGATCCTCTGGGCTATGGTAATGTCACTATGACAGAGTCTTATACCACCTCTGGCACTCTGAAGCCCTCTGTCCATCTTCATGATAACCGGCATGCATCAAACGTGGTGGTGACAGAGAGGGTAGTGGGCCCAATCTCTGGTGCTGATTTGCATGGAATGCTGGATATTCCCGACTTGAGAGATGGCTCGAATGTGATAGTGACAGAAAGGGTCATAGCACCAGGTTCAAGTCTACCCACCTCTCTGACCATCTCTAATCCTAGAGAGTCTTCAAATGTGGTAGTGACAGAAAGAGTAATCCAACCAACTTCTGGCATGATGGGCAGTCTGAGTATGCATCCTGACTTATCAAATGCCCACAATGTGATTGTGACAGAGAGGGTTGTTTCTGGTGCTGGCATAAGTGGAATTAGTGGCACAGGTGGGATAAGTGGAGGTGGGGGCATAGGTAGCAGTGGCCTAGTTAGCACCAGCATGGGTGCCGGTAGCATGGGCATGAGTGGAGCTGGAGTCAGTGGTGGTGGCATTGGGCTGAGCAACCTGGGTGGAGGTGGGGGCTTGAGTAGCAGTATGGGGGGGACAGCCACTATTGGTCATGTGAGGAGTTCCTCTGACCATCACTTTAGCCAGACCCTTGGATCTGCCTCCCCTAGCACATCTCGAAGTCGAATCACAAAGTACAGTACAGTACAATATACCAAGTAATCAGGATCCCAGTGTACCTATGCACAGTAATTGTGATGTAGGTTCAATTCCCAGGACCCAAATATCTAACAATGCAATTTATGATGCACAACTAGGTGCTAAGATAATTGTGGAACAAGCTGAGGAACCACGATGCGAAAAATAAATGAAAACATTGCTGTGGGGGAGAGCCTTCCTTAGCATTCATCAACATTTTTCTTATATTAGTACTAATGAAATTGTGATCGTGAACTAAATTAAGGAATGGTCTTTTTTTTTTTTTTTTTGGATTCATGGCCTGTAGGGCCTTTTTTGCATCTATGAGGCCTGTAGTACATCTCCAATATGTTAAGAAATAAAATGTGATATGTAAAAGCACTGGCCTTAATATGGCAATTGGCATAATTCTCCTTGCTCTATTATGACTTGCCATGTAGCTCAGGCAACTTTCAAAAGTATAAAGATGTGATATGTTTATGTGGGGAAACAGGTTATTAACATGCTATTTCCCTCCATATACCCTGTTAATTTCATGGATAATATAAACTAAAAATCCAACCATAGATTTAGACCAGGGTTAATCATTAAATAAAATCTGACTCTATAGTCAAGTCCATAAACAACCACGGACTTTTACCTTGACTGCACCTTAACAGGACTCAATGAAGTGAACTTCAAATTAGGAAATATTTCCTAGGGGAAAGAGCAGCAAGAAAGTAAGATTTGTTCAGGGGAAACTGGCAATGTCTGCACCTGAATTTCATGCTAGGACTTCGTTTAAATCTCCTATGGAGTCAAGGACTTTTCTGATTCTAGACTGTGTGTGATGGTAGATGTGATCTTGAAGAATATTGCTTACTGGTGAGGTTATGGGACATCACACTCATTTCTCTCTTTACCACTATGGTAAAGAATCAATAATAAGGAAAACTTGCCAAGTTAACTTCTTAGATTGAAGCAAATAACACCTAACATGGTTGTCATCATTGGTGGTAAATGACCTTCCAAGTAAGCAGATGGAAACTTCGTTGTATTTTCAGATTGCATTTTCGGTACATGCTATTCACTCATACTCAGCTTTTTACTACATAGCTCCTAAGTTAAAAATGATTTACTTAAGCTGAGCTGTGGGGAAAAAATGCTAGCAGTATGGTTAAGCTTTGCGGGGAATTTTTTTAAGGGTCTCTAAGAATAATGTTTTTAGAACATGTAAACTGTTTTAAGTGGGGAAAGTTAGAAAAGAATTGTTTGGTAAAGTAATACCATAGTAATTATTAGCCTTAATTGAGTTTGGTACTTTCTTTAAACAATCCTCTGCTGCCATTTTGAGGTGATAAATCAGAATTAACAGAGTTTGATGATATTGTGTTAGCAAGAGTGAAATGATACTAGACAAACCCATTTCTTCAGTCTATCCCACTCCCTAATTAAATTTTTTCATTATCATAAATTTTAAATTGCTAGTTTTATTTTTAATAAGCTCTTGGCTTATACTTGGTTCTGATTAATACTTTCCAAATAAAATAGTATAATATATTTTTTTAGCTTCAAAACTTAGTAATGTGCTATTTATGATGTATTATTTCTGTATATTTGCCATATTATGTTACCTGATTAAGACTCTCTGAAAAGAATCAAACCATTCAAAAAGATAGGTAAATTTCCTATTGCATGGTAGACGAATTTTTCCTCTTTTTAAAATCCATTGTTAATTTAAATTTCACTAAAATGAAACTAGATCTGACAAAATAAAATTAGAAAAAAAATCTTTCCCCTGGAATTGTGAATTTTATACAACTTTTAAAGATTTTTCTCCTGTCTACTAAAACTTCCCAGGGTGTTATACAATCCAAGAATCATCATTTAACTTCCAAAACTTCTCAAAGAGGGCTAGGAGTGAATTGTTTTACCTAGAGCTATTTTGCTCTACATAACACCAGATGAGGTAAATATTTCAAAAGCCACAATATGCATCTTTTTTTAACTCTGTAGAATATGTAAAATTTTGATAATCTGTAGCATGCCAAAATGCAGAGGTGTAAATAAAGTCATTTAAAGGGTGTCTTTCTTTTATTTCTTTCTGTCACTTTAGGGGATTGCATTAAGGATGGGTTGTTTTTTTTTTCCAGAAACTCAATCGGTGTTTGTTTATTTATATTTGCTTATGTCTGGGTTCAGGAATTTGAAGGAAAAGGAATAATTATTCATTAATTAAGAGATTAAAGAAATTAATTAGTTCATTAAAGGAATGGTATCTGACCATAAGAAATTTATTTATTGTCCTAATATGATATATCATGATAAGTCTTTTCTTAAAATACCTGATATCTTCCAGAGATGGTTTTTAGGTTATCTACCAAATGGTGGAGTGATAATCGTACAGTTGTTGTTGTCAAGATCAATTATGAAATTACGGAAAATACAATTTTAAAATGCTAACATTAGTCATTTATTTTTCTAGGAAGAGTCCTTCAAGTCAACGTTTTTGAGGGAGGGTGGGGATTGCACAGTGATGTTCTAACTCTTCAGTTGTAAATTTCACAATCACCTTTTTAAAACATCAAGAATTTTAAGACTCATGTAAAGGTATATTTTTCAATGAGTAGCCTTTGGGCAGAATTTCATTCTTTTGATGCTTTACTCTAACTCAGATACATCATTCCATAGACCTAGAAGAGATGTGGAAATAATTTCATAAGTAAATATCTACAATTTACATCCATATGGCATGTTGAATCGTAAAACAACATGCTCTTAGCAAAAGGGAGAAGGAATAGATAGTAGTTTCATGTTTTGCATATATGGTTTGAAAACAAACCACGTTTATATAACATCTGATTTTCTAAAATGGTATTCCTCAAGGCAAAAATTACTGTATTATAAATACTTTATTATTTAATATCAACCAAAATACCCTCTTGAGCTAATATTGACATTGAATTCCAGATATATCTGCTATATATTACTTACCTCTGTGCCTGATGTAACTATTTACACTGAAAAACTTGCAGGTAAAATATCTTTTTAACATTATTTATATATCTTCATCTCAACTTCTGCTCTATACTTATTAATAAAGTTTTTGGCATCATAATTTTATTTGATGTATTATTCTTAAATTTTAATTATATATCTTTAAAAAATTACATTTTTTATATTAGGTGGATGTATTTAGTTGTATAATTCATATCTAAATTTATACCAAGATTTGATTGTCAGCCAAAGCATATGACATATATGACACCCTTTATTTTTAGTAGGAGATTAAAAGGGTTAAAATCAGTGGGAAAAAAATGGCTATGACTATTTTGGAAAGACTTTAAAAAAAATACTTACATTTTTCCATGCCTATTTAATAATTTACAGCCTTTGTAGGGGATTTCTGATATTTTTAAGACCTACTTCACATTGCATTGGAATATAACAGTTCACAATAGAACAAATCTTGTTAGTCCCAGATTATTCAATTTGTGATAAGACAAAGCCTGAATGTATCAACCTATTATTCTTCAAACACTTTTGAAATATGAATAATTTATTGTTTAATTATCTATATTTTCTCTCATTTCATTTTATATTAATTACTAAACAATTCATGATCAGATTGCTTTTGATCTAACTTATTTTTCATTGTCTATCTATTTCCCAAGCATCTTAAAACTCTTGATGTTCATCTTTGGTGATGTTTAAAACAAGGTGCTTTCCTTCAAGTTTCAACATAAAAGTTTGGGGATTATTTGGGTGCTAGTTCCTTGCTTCATAATTGGTGGCTCTTTTAAGACAGTTTGTAATTCCAACGAGTTGTGTTTATAGCAATAAAGATTGATATGCCTCTGTTATCTTTTCTGAATTATAAGGTTGGGGGAGGTTGTAGATTGTAAGAAATAATTAGGAGTTATTAAATCTCTAGTTATTATTTTCAGCCCATACTC